CTTGCTGGATATTCGGGCCACCACTTCCCTAAAATCCAATGGTCCTAATCAAGATACAAATTTCAATAAGACCGGACGTTTTCCCCTTTCAGTATTAATATTAATAATAACAAGACTTTGGTTTCCTCAAACACTTGTTTTTGTACCTGTACAATCTCCAAGTAACAGATACATTACATAAAAATAATATTCAAACCGATAAGTCTTTTGAAAACTTAATTCCAAAACTTTTGGACATGTCAGATGAACAATTCCACACATTCCAAATAAATCTACTGATCCAGAACAAAAATTTTACCGGAAGCAGGCATGGGACCAGTTGGTAACGTCGCAGATTGCACAATATCTACATGCATATATACTATTTAAACTATCGTTTTCGTTAGACCTATGGGTAAATATACTGTGTTTGCCCTTTTTAGCTGTTTATTATACAGACGCATGCAACAATAGTCGAGTTTTAGAGGGCTACTTCGCGGAGAGTAGAATTACATTGCGTGTAATTTTGCCGTTGAAAGAAAGATGGCGAGTAAGGGGGGGGGGGTGATTTCCAACTATGTTGCACATTGTTTTACCATATCATGATGGTTATGAATTTACTTATTTATAGCATATAATTTAATATCATTAATATCGTGAATTCACTCATTTATTTGCTAATTTTTGCTAAAGAAGGCTGCACCTCCCTTCTCCTCATGTAGGGTACGCACGGCTTATACATGTTGTACCCCGCATTCCTTTCTGTCACTGAATGATAAACTGTTGAACTAACCGAGACGTCAACATGATGGATCGCAATGAAATTTGATATCAATCTCACGCTATTAGAACAACTGATAGGTCTAAAGTTAAAGCTCAGCCTCGACGCAAACATTATAATGTAGTAATGGAAAATATTTTTAAATTTAAAATAAGGTGCGAATAAACATGCTTCACTATTGGCCTTTATACTGATTAAGTTTCGAAAAGTTCAACCATAATGGTTTTCACTTACCTCTATGGATATGTGAAGAAATAAAGCAGTACAAGATCTGTTGATAGAACCAATATCTGATTGTAATATTTGATTGAAAAAGGTCATCCGAACTTATTCTAGTTAGGTGCAGAAAAACAAGGAAAGTTAAGAACAACACATCGTCAAAAAGACGACATATTTTTGGACAAACGAATTTAGGAACAGAATATCTCCCTATCGTGGGGTTTGTTTTCAGACACAGAGGAGTAAAGAATTATTTTTATATAATATAATCATATACTTTAGGTGACCTAGAATACGACCCCAAAATGTGAGATCTAGGTAATTCAATATTAAACGGTGTTGTCAGCGAAAAAAATATTTTTTAAAAACTATGAAGAAAAGGTGACATATTTATACCAATCGGACGACAACAGTGCAGGATGACGTACATCGAAGTAGCAATTTTTGATGATATTTCGAAGGGCGCTGACATGACAATTTTCTGCGTTCCAGATTTTGCACGCCTTTTGTATTGGTAACATTTCATGCTTTTTTCATTATCAAGTTCCAAATAATTTGAACGAGGAAATTATTTTTGTGTTGAAGATATTCTCTGAACTCAACGAAACCCTGGCTTTCGTTAAGTCAACAACAAAAGATCACTTTTTTTATGAATGCAACAAATTTGTGTACTGGTTTTCGACAAAGTTTAGAGGGCGTTCTGCTCCGTGCCAATTAAAAAGGCTTGAAGCTCACGGATGACGAGATTGTACTTTTATGCAATCACGCCCTGTGCAAACGTGCTCAGCAGTTAGACTGAAAAGTGACACAGATTCTTCTGCTAGGCCTAGATACTAAAATTAACTCAAACCATTCTCTTTTCCGGGGTTTATCTAAATACGGCATTGCCTCTTCCGATGCTGAACAGCTCCTAAGACGTAAAAATGTCGATTGTTGACAGCGTGGAAAAACATTGCAGTAAAAACTCGGCCCGCCTTGAAAAGGCGGAATTCAACTGTGAAGATGAGCAACAAAACCCTACATTATACGATCAAAACTAATTGAGCTATCGCTTACCTTGCTGTATTAGAAACTCCGAAATGCGATACGCTCGAATATCATCCCGTTTATTTTTTGCCGTCTTTTTTATTTGTTGTACGTATATATAACGTATCAGTCTGGTAGAGCGACAACGATGTTCTTTGTTGAAGAGAAAGAAAGATTACAACAAATTTACATAGGAAATAATAATAAATTAACAACTAACACACTTGTCTGTCTGCTCAAAGTGGCTCGGGAGAGAGAGAATCGAGAGTGGGGGAGGGGACACCCTGCGCAACTATAAAAAATATATATACTAAAAATAGGCCATCAATACAAATAATAAAAATAATAAAAACACGGATCATTAGGATGGGTCTCACACCCTGAGTTTCAAAGAGTATCTGAAAAGCCAGTCACATCGTGCGGATACTAAAGGCAAGCTTAAAGAAACTACCCGAAAATCGGGATAATGAGCGATCGTTAGAAACACTTGGTTGAGTCACATTTTCCACTAACGTATACATTTCTAGGCACGAGGCTCCTAATATTTCACTTTAAAGATCTACTTGTACGACGTACATGCTAGCCGCCAATGTGTCTCCGAGAAGGGGAGATCATGACAGAATCAATGTTATTTAACATACCTTGTTAATACATTTGTGGGAGACTTCTGCGCACCCTAGGATCGACTTGGTAACAGCTGACACGAGGTGGTGCTTACATGGTAGCTTTATTGGCATCATTCTCTGCGTGCAGTGGGAGGGCGTGCGCACAGCGGTGCCGTTGAATCAGCCGCTGCCTCCCTCCCTCCGTTTTTTGTGACCGGTCTTTAAAATGCTAATTATTTGTTGAGCGCACGATTGTTTTTACATCAATTAAGTCTCTAGGCTACCAAAGTTATAAATGATTTATACGATCTCATTTTATTAATATACAAAGGGTACAATTTTGAAAGTCTTGATGGTTTTGACTGTCTGCTGTTAAACATTTGTGTTGGAAACTGCGTTTTTTTCCTTACATCATTCACAAAATTAACTGTGACAGCCACCCTCTGTGCAGAAGTTGAATCTAATGAAATGGAAAGTTATATGCCGTTTGAATAATTGTTTGTTTGCCCCTGAAAATCCACCTAAAACAAAAATAAATGCTTGGCTGTATACTCACTACTTGGAAAAAATGAGTGTATTTCGTCTGTTTTATTTTTAACTTGTATTTTGTGCCTGTGGTCGACCACTTGGATGGTATATCGTCATATTTCAATAACAGTGATCCAGTTAAGTCATGGGACATTCATTTCTCGTGGGACATAACTTTTTCATTAGGCCCTAAGGTTCAGACTCATAGTATTTTCCTACAAGTTCGATATTTGCTGTTTATATCGGTGAGCAATGCCTCCAAAATTCGATTTTATTTTCTGGATTACTTGTAATTTTTTTCTCTGGTGGTTTTTAATGCTGTTGTCAGACATGCATTCCTCTTTGAGTGCTAAATGGGCCTCAACACGACGCAAGAATTGAAGTCGTCCGAAACCTATAGCTACAATCCCCTATGCGATTGTTCTCTGTTGTACGCTTGCTTGACAAACGTATGATCTCGGAGGTCATTCAACCTTGTGTGTACTGAATCTGGATTTTTTCCACTGTCTAGATGTATTGTGAGTCGACAAGACCAGGAGTTACACACAATTGACTAACCTCTGTCAATACCGGGGATTGTTTTTACTAGATATTCAGAGGTATGTCTCTGGCTATTTTTTTTTCTGCTGTGAGACAGCGAGACTATCCGTATGGAAGCAATGTCACCACTCATTTGGCCTGTAGTAAAGGGTAATAGGCCTACATGTAGTTGAATTTTTTTTTCTGTACGATTGCTCACTACCCAATCATTGATTGTCCTATTGATGGTTGCCAATGGCCGCCAACCTGATCACTATTCAGTATTTTTCAAATCCTGGACGTTACTACTAGACCCCCTGCCCCCATTTTCTAAGGAAAAAAAAAAAAAAAAAAAAAAAAAGCTTGCATATATTGCATATATTAATACTAATATAGACTCTACTGTCTGAACATATTGTATTCCCTTCTGATTCTGCGTCGTTAAATATTTGAAAATACTGTGTGTAGAAAGGCATAAAGAAAGGCCTAAATATAATCATATGGTAAAGTCTTAAAACTAGGATTCAACTGCTGCATAAACTGTCATAATCATAGGTTCGCTGCATGTAATCATGAACCAAAACACTTAATTCAATTATAATATTGTTCCGATTTTTTTTTTTTGTGTGTGTGCATGATAACGCCCTCTTTTTGTGTTACAAGTCTAAAAATAACACATATTTATCCCTACAACCAGGATAACGGTCCTCATTTAGTGAATAACAACAGCATACTTTTTTCCACTGTCATTTTTTATATTCCTCTGACAAAGGCTTGACGGCAACATAAATTACGTTAAAACGATTTTCTGAGTGACTACTATATGATGCTGTTGAACATTTCAAGATTTTGTATCCCAGTGCAGTGTATATTTATTCCTATATTTTCTACTTATTTCGAGTTCATTTATAACCCTGCCATTTTGTCTTTTCACACGAAGTAGGCCTACACTAAAAATAATATGTCACCGAGTAACTATATATCTTGACTTTTTTTGTGCCAAATGTGTCCATGAAATATAGCACAGGTGTGTCTGTACATAAAAAAGGAAAGCTTTCTCCAGATATACGTGGGCGTCTTCAAGTCACTACATCGCTTTCGGTGGTCTATTCGAATCGAGGAGACCGAAATACACTTTGACATATTGGGCTTGTTCTCCATCATGGGCCTGAAGTTTTATTTTATTTTATTATTATTTCATTGCAATTCACTTGATTCTCTGCATATCTTTCCCATAGTCCGAAACAGTTCCTCAAAATAACTCGAAATATTGTCCAATTGATAACATTCGTTTCATAGATGAATATGAAAAACAACACTTGTTCAACAATTTTTCTCTCTTTTTAATAAAATGACATTCACATTATGCATCACGAAATAGACGAACCCGCCAGCAGGTTAAAAAATTGAAAGTCTTTAGCTTATATTTTCACCGACAAGATGCGTCTCAGCAGCGTCAATCTGATTTTTAGTTGCATTCGTTTAGAAATCTGTCTTGATTTTGTCGAGATTTTTACATTTACTTTTCCCTTTTTTCAAATCATGCCGGATTCAGGATTCCTCTTGTTCCTGATCACTACCGTAAATCAATTCACTAATCGAATCCGTGCTCTTCAAGAACATGTTGGCGCAATATGGCGAACAAGACACGAACAAAAACGGCAAGTTCTTAATCCCGAAGATCTTGCTCGCTGGACGGATGAGTCGGAGACCCGGGCCGTAAAGGGGCCCGTTACAGCAGTCACACTGGCCCGTGGGCTGAAGAAGTCGCGCCACGGTCTCCGTGAGGTGGTAGGCACGACGGTGGAGCCCCGCATTCATGAACGCCAGGCAGGCAAGGTCGGTCAATCTCTGAAAATGAACATAAAAGAGAAGGTTTATGAAGATGTTTTTAAATAAGATATCCGTGATATATATTTTTCAAACATTACTACTTCTACAGTGTACATGTGTTTTATTCTTCTGATTATTATTATTAATTTTACTGAGTATTGCCATGTTTGCAATACACTCCACAGCTGTACCCATCCTCTCTAGATTTATCAACGCATCTAAATTTGTACAAAAAAAAAATAATAATAATAAAATAAATAAATAACAAATAACAAATAAAATAAAATATATTCCCTCTTACCTGAGGCTGGTTCCTGGTGTTTTCCTTCCAAAACAGCGGATGCATGAAGTTATTCCGCACTGTGAGATGTTTCAGGTTTTTCAGCTTGAGGGCGCCACTGGGCATAGCTGCCAACTGGTTGCCCTCCACCATCAACTCCCGCAAATTTCTACAATAAAGACGCAATTCTGTGAGACAGGTTGTGAAATATAGACACAATTCCAAGAAAATGGTATCTAGAATATAGACAAAATTCTATGAAACAGGTTTGTGGAATATAGACACAGTGCCATGAAACAGGTTGTGAAATACAGACACAATACCATGAAAAAGCCTTATTTTTTCTCTTGTATAAAGCTGACGAAAAAGTAAACTGTTTATGAAGAAACTGAATTTTTATTTTCTGTTTCTTCATTATCTTAATTGCTGATTTTTTACCGATGTTATTACTTTCTCATTCTTTATTTTAACCTAAATTTAAAATCTACATCACATGGGCAGTGATCACACTAATGTACAGTAAAAAAAAGCAACAGTTCTGCACTTACTTTAACCTCCTGATCTCATTGGGTACAAAGCTGAGTCTGTTGTAGGATATGTCCAGATGGTAGAGGCCAGACAGGCTGAACAGACTGGAATAGAGCACACACAGAAATTGTGACCATGAGGTATTACCACCTGCTTCTACCATTATATTAAAGATAATTAATTGGAAATGATTGTGGTAAAATGCTCTTGTGCAAATAAATAAATACATAAAAAATAGAAAAGACTTAATTTTTTTTTTAAATATGTTTGAACATTTTTACTTACAGAACAATATAACTGAACATTTTTCTCTTTACTTTGAATACCATAACATAATCCTTTTAACTTTGTATTTTAATTTGTAAATTCTCTACAACAAATTTTTATGAATTTTAGACTCTAAATATATATGTAAATAAATTATTATCATAATACTTAACATCATTATTGTTATTAGATAAGGTACACAAAATTTCACAAACACACACACATAAACACATGTATATGCAGAGAGAGAGAGAGAGAGAGAGAGAGAGAGAGAGAGAGA